GGCTATCGTTATTCGGGCTATGCGCCAGCCGGATTGTTCGGGGGGGGGGGGGGGGGGGTGGGGATGGAAGATATCAGTAAACAAACTTGAAATATCTACGAACGCCCCTCGCAAGATACATTTTTGCACAGCCTTGGGCACAGCTGGTGCAGGTGGCTGAACGGGCGGGTTGCAAGAGCCTGGGCCTTGGGCTGGCGTAGTGGCGGCAGCAGTTGCATTGCCTTGGCCTTGCGTGAGGTGCAACATATAGTACTCTCAGCAATAGGGGCAGAACAAGCCGACTGTACCTTGTCCCATACCAGAGCGCGGAGGAGGTCCGTTGAGCCCGCGTCACCTGACTTGGTCGAGGAGACATTTGTTCCGGTCGGGCTCCTGGGCTCGCGAGCCGTGTCCGCACTGTCATGTTGCTGGTTCTCGAGGCCACAGCAGACCTCACTACCAAGGGATAGCTATGACAGCTAGCGGTCTTGTAAAAATAATAAATACTTTTATTTCCTTTCGGGTTCAGGCCGCACTGGGAAAGCTCGCCGCGGAGGGCTTGGCAAGTCATTGCCTTCACAGTGTCTACAGTTAGGTCAGATATGCTGAAGAAATACAGTGTCGAGGTGACAGCAATGTTACGAAAGGAAAAGGAAAACTAAAAATGAACACTGCTGAAACACGATCTACTGTCTGCAAGAACACAACGGGGCAAGCAAGATATGTTTTCTTTTCAGTAACACAGGCTGGGTGTCATTTGCAATTATGCAGCAAAGCAAAGCGCATAACGTCAGCCTTGATTGTAGTACAAAGCTAACGAATACTAGCACAGCTTTTATGTAGTTACCCTATATTCTCAATTTATTCCCATAGCTATGCAAAAAACATTACTTCAGTAACGTCTGGCGCTAGCCAGGGTCCACACAGCTTTAATTCCGTGTTTGTGTGTTTGTGCCGTCGGCATGCCTGGCGCTATCCCGTGCCTGTCCCGTACCGTACCATCAAAGACAGCTGGCCACAATATTCAAACAGGGCTTTCAAATGCAAGATTGTAACCTGAATCAACTTCGAAGAATAAGTAGGTATGCGCAGTATATCGGGGGGGGGGGGGGGAATGCATGCAGGGCGATAGTGCGGTTTCGAATCCCAGGTTATGTCCTGAAAAAAAAATACGAGAAATGAAAAATGTATAACATCACTGTGCTTTTTTTGCCTAGATCATCAATGTGGTAGACGGTGTTGTATTACCCTCGAATGCAGAGATAAAGTTTATTTCTTTCGCTCAGGGTCCTACCGTATGCTTTTTTGCCTAGCTCATCATGCATGCTATTCGAACAGATGGAACTTTCTGCAGTACAATGATGTAGCTGAACAAGTCGTCGTGGTATGGTTGGGAATTGTAGCCGTCATGGTGGACGTAAAACACTATTTACATACACAAGCTCGGGGAGCAAAAGCCTCTCTGTCCCATACGCTGCCACATTCCAACTAAATGCAAAAACATGCACTTCACACGAGCTGACTTGCACGCATGGCCCTTTTCAAGAACCCAGAAAAAAGGTTTGTCTATTATAACGCATGTGTGAAGTCACTAGATTACACTCGCACCAGAGATGAAAGGCGGTCTAGCTGTCGCGGAAGAAGCCTAGAAGGGCAAACGGAAAAGATACCTGGCGCTATCCCGTACCGTACCATCAACAGGGGCGTCACAGGGCGGCTGTGAGTGGTATGACGGGGGTTGGGGGTGTCCCCTGAGAAAAAAATAAGTATTTTTCGGCCAACAGGGCACCTTTTAGCACTCTACAGCCGCAAAGGAGGGTTCCATTAGCACTTATTAGACAACCCCACTGCAGCTCCAAAAACATACTTCTGTTGTTTTTAGAGAGAGAAGAAGATCCTATTTTTTGGTGGGATTGAAAGATCTGCCGGTGGACCGGAGAGCTACAACACTGGAAGCAAAAGAAAGGGCTTGCGGAATCTTCTCTGTCTTCGTGGCAACAGGACTTTAATTTGCGAGAGACTTTCGTCCTGTTGCCGCAGACGCAGTTCTTGTTGCTGCTACCAAAAACAAGTTAGGTGAAGCGGGTCGTGTCGGTGAACAGCTACAGAATATTCTGTCGCTGTGGAGCAGCAGTCCAAACACTTTTCAAGGTCGGAGAATGAAGCGCGTCCCTTTTCCGTTGACAAGCGCGGCGTACGCGGGTGTAATGCATTTTCGCATCAGCTTTCATTAGATCGTCAGGAGCCAGAGGTCTAAGAGTAGGTGTCGTTGTGGAAAGAATCTAATTATGTTTTAGCTGACAAGTGACATACATGTAGTGTCTCTTGACCGTGCTGATCGCCATTTTAACACGGTAGATCTTGGAAATATTTAGTTCTGGACCCAGTGATCGCCACAAGCTCAGGTCTGTTTCTGTCAAGTTTTCAGTGAATGCGTCCATGAGGAAACCATCGTCTGGTTGTCTCTACCCGTGACTCCAACCGCCTATCGTAATGGATAGCCGCCTGGAGTCTTGGGCAATAACTAACGGCTAGTGCTAGGCATCAAGTCTGTATGCTCCTCCTTGCAATGAAAGTAATTCGTTGCGATGTTTTGGACAAGTCCGAAGATCCTTGAATTTTTTATTGCTTTTTTCGATGAATTGGGCGGACCATCCTGGACGAAAAGTGGTACGACCATGGTCGTAGTGGTCGTACCGTGTGTGATGCCCTTGATCAAAGACAGCTGGCCACAATATTCAAAAAGAGCTTTCAAATGCAAGATCATAACGTGAAGCAACTTGGAAGAATGAGTATGTAAGCGAAGTGTATCGGGGTAATGCACACAGGACGATAATGCGGGTTCGAATCCTTGGTTATGTCTTAAAAAATATAAAAAATACATAACATCTCTATGCTTTTTTGCCTAGGTCAGCAAGGTGGTACACGGTGTTGTATTACCCTCGAATGCAAAGAGAAAGTTTATAATTATAACCCAATAAATTCTGGAATCACTTTTGCCTAACTCATATTCAAACTCATTGAAACGTTTGTGCAAGACAATGATGTAACCAATCAACGGAAAAAAACATTTCCATCAGTTCCAATAAAATGCATGATGAGCTAGGCAAAAAGCATAGTGTATGGCCCTGAGCTTCCAAGCTCTCTCGTTAATAATTCTTTTTTCAAACGGGTCCAAGTAACCCGCCTCATCCCCCCCCCCCCCGCAACCCCCCCCCCCCCCCCACAGCCCCCCCCCTCAGTTTCGCTGACCTGCCTGAACCGGCACTGGAGCTGATACTGCTCAAAGCCCATAACCAACTTAATTGAAGACCAACCCATCTCAGATGCTAAGTACAGTAAAACCTGTAACTAAAGACCATCGTGACTAGCGACCAGCCTGGTACTAAAGACCACTTCGCCAGGCACGGAAGGTCTAACATTCATACATGGTTGGGTGGTGCAAACCTGTAACTAAGGACCACCTGCCACTAAAGACCACTTTCTCTGGCCCCAAGGGGTGGTTGTTAGTCACAGGTTTCACTGTAGAAGGCATCAAATCCCTATGAATTCTTCATCCATAAGGATGCGGAACTCTCTATTCCAGTGCCGGTGTTGCTTTTACTAACTAAGGGAGCATCTCATAAGTTCGCATTATGTTTGCAAACGTAACGCATTTCGAATAGACTTTACCCCCCTACCTCCCCCCCCTCCTCTATTTGAAGGTCTTATCGCACATTTTCTGTGTAGATCTACTGTACCTGTGTCCATGCCTCATGCTATGGTATGTACATGTGTACAGCATTGGGTATGTACATGGATATGAATGTTTTGCTAGTGAAGTACTGTAGTGCATCCAGTAGTTACATTCATTACTGAAAAACATCTTCAGATATCTTCAGATGTGACGTTAGACGTCCGTGATGATTTGTTGGCTTTCACTTGGCGTCTACTTTTCACCTATCTTTGTCACTACCTCAGTACCATTTGTGACGTGTAAGCTAGCGCAACCTATTCCTGTGTACCTCTCCTTCTCAGTGTGAATGATTTAGCACTTGTGATAGTTGTGTCTGGTAGGGTTCAGAACACCTCCATTCTGCACTATTCTCTTTTGTGTTGATATGTCACATTATGTGAGTTAGTTGAGTGTTTACACCTCAGTGCGCCAATATCTTTTCTATAAAATAGCATTATTCAGCTAAACCCCTTCATTCAACAACTGCTTCTCAACTGATGAGTTCCCCGTTATTATCTCTATGGAACGAAACAAGATTTGTCAGGAGTACTACTACTTGCTTTCGTGGAGTGTGGCCGATGAACTGTTCGTGCTGTGATCTTCAAGCGTCATGTGGTCTCGTCCGGTCAAATGAACAACCTATTACTATTCATAACTGAGTACAAGAACAATCAATGACGTGTAGTCATCAATGGTCATGTACACACACATAAACGTACATGTAGTTCCTCCAATTTCCCCTCCATAACAGCTGTGCATGTACAGTGTACAATGTCAATGTACTGCTGTATAAAAAGCTGGCCAGGTACACCGTTTGATCCGGCTGGTGTGATATTTGACACCTCTGAGTAGCCTGCATGCATGCATACAGTGCAAGGGTTAGCTGATCTGCAAACACAGGTAGATCCACACCTAAACCATGTAAACACAGTCATCTGAAGCGATCTAGCACATGCACAGCACAGTGTTGTACACTTCCAGAAAATGTGCGAACTGTCATTTTTCTATTCGAAAAGAGCGCTCCCCCCCCCCCCCCCACCCCCGTTTCGAAATGCCTTACGTTAGGAAAAAAATGCGAACTTATGAGATATGTGTGTGTTTGTGTATGTATATGTGTGTGTATGTATGTGTGTGTGTGTGTGTGTGTGTGCGCGCGCGCACACGCTTGTGTGTATGTGTGCACATGCACATGCGCGCACATGCGTGTATGTGTGCATGTGTATGAATCTGCATGTGTATGCATGTATGTGTGTGTGTGTGTGTTTGTGTGTACATGGTTTGTATTCATTAACGATGCTACTTCCAGGATGGTGGGACACCATTCCACTTTGCAGCATCCGGAGGTCATGTGTCCGTAATAGAATGTCTGTTGAATGCTGGACATCCATTGGAAGCGAAAACTTCGGTAAGTCAGGATATCCCTGGTGTATGCTTGTTTGTGTAGGAGCAGAAAAGAAGGATTACCGTACTTTCGCGATTAGAGCCCTCTCTTGAATAGTGCTCTATGTTGAAGAGTGCCCCAGTCTCTATGAGCATGTGAACAAAATATATAGCCCTCCCTTGGATTGTGCCCCCCCCCTCCCCCGGCTTGTTACCAAGCGCATGTGCACGTTTTGTGTTCCAGGCCATGTGATAAGGGTCGTACTGACGTAATGTCCTGACACTTCCCAGACTTGCCATTTTGCCTCACATGTCGCTGAAAGGCAACATTTTTTTAATTCTCGACCGAACGATATGAACGAACAAAATTTTCCTGTAAACTGCACACAAACCTTGCACCTAACCACATCACCCATGCGCGATCATCTTTGCATCTCTCATACTCCCTGTCGAAAGGTCCTTGTCGCGCTCAGCAGCTCACTTGTCACAAATGGTGGCACGCACAGCGCGGAGCTTCGTGCCATGAGGAGGGCCATCGTGGCCACCTTTTGTCTTCCAAATCCTTAAGGACTAGAACTGATCTCAGAAAATGCAAAATCGGCATTCTTGCACATACTTCTCCCACTATAAGTTGAATAACTCCACTAATAACTTGTAGGTCGATTTTCACAATCTCGGACTTTCTGTTAGGCTCTATCCATAAGTAATACATTTCCTGTAGACATGACAAGCATCAACGTAAATGTACAGTGAGCGAAGCATGCGTACGCATCATGTCAATTGCTAGCAAAATACACATCGCAATGCAATTCCCTCAAATTTTATCGTAGAGCACTGGGATTTTGCAAAGACCTCTGGATGCCGGTAGCATGATTTGGTCATAGCACCTGGCTGGCTAGGGACGCGCAAAATTGGGCAAATCCCCAGCTGAAGTGCATTTTACAAAGCTCATAATACAGCTTGAGATATGGCCTGACTCCAGGACCTTGGGTCGCGTTCGTTCGGGTTTCTTCAAGACGACAGCTGAGAGTTTTCTGTTGGCGATAGATCTCAGTAGTATGTATAAAGCCGGTTCTGTGAGAGGTACATGGTTCAGCCCGAAAAGCGGGGTACTATTGATAGTACCCCATTTTTGGGGTAAAAACCGGGCGCCCGTTTTTTACGTAAAAATGATTTTTCGGGTGAAGGGTGGATTGTACCCCACCTTGCCCCGGATGGGAGTGGGTATAAGAAGTAGATACATTGTTGGATAATGTTTCATTATGGAGATGATGATGTGGGGTGAAGATGGATTTTGAATTTGAGATCTTACGTGCCTATGTACGTGAAAAGAGCCTTTGTGAAGAAGAAGAACAAAAAGAAGGAGAAAAAGAAGAAGAGCAAGAAGGGGAGGAAAGACAGTGTCATCATCTCGATAATGTTGTTCATGAAGGATGATACGTATGTTCTTCTTGTGGACTTGTCATGGATGTGGTTTACTTACCTGAAGTTGATGTGCACTCAGGTAGAATAAGGACACTTTTCTGGTGCCGCTGTACTTCAAGATCAGCGCTGCAACTCGCCATGGTGATAATGTGGCTGACGTCATGTTACCAAGGAAAACATGGCGTTTGGCCGGGTTCGCCGCACTCGAGCGCTCAGCTTTTTTTCCCAATCTTGTTTTGAAAAATACTTCTAGTCTTTTGCAGCACTTTTGGAGGAGAGTCACATCGGGATCTGTACGAGTATCTTTATCATGGCCATTGTCTTGTGTCGTTTTGAGCTCGAATAGCTTTCTCTGATGAAGGATTCAAATATCATGACGTTCTCTTTTATCGTGGGCATGAAGCTCCCCACTCGCAGCGGGGATGACATCGGACGGAATAAATGTGTCGAGTCCCGAGCAGGAGTTCTGCTGACCAAAGTGATTAGCTCCTCGCGACCTGGGGCATGTGAGGACTACAGTTCTAGTTGGGCAATACCCCACGGACACATCTAGCTCGAAGCGCAGTGTCGATTGAGAAAAATGACCAAGATCATAAAGAAGGCTTGTTTGCTCCCACAAAATGTTTTAGTAGCCGAGTCCACGCACTGAAAACTGCACTTGCATTGTTCCTGTCCTATCATACAGTACATCAGTGCAGTACAGAGTGCACTTGCAAATCACAACGACACGAGCACAGTCGCTTGTACAGACTCAGTTGTGACCAGCGATCGCGCGTGGGAGTCAAGTACGCTACTCAAGTGCGCATGCTCGGCTCGCTGCATGCACTGTCTGTAGATCTACAGCAGATTGCTGGTGTGATGCACTACATGTACAGCGCAGTCATTTATGTGTAAGAGACAATGTCGGCTATTTTGAAACGGCAATGACAGCTTCATCCATAAACGCGGAGCGCGGGAATGTCTTTGGCGAATAAGAGCTGTTGCATTGGCTAGCTGTACATCCCAGCAAGCGGGAATGTGCTGGATATCGATACTAAACACCCGTTCATCGCGGTGGTGAGTCTGAACAGACCCCAAAGTACGACAGCTTCGTATACTAAAAGTGTACAGTGCGTATGGTGAAACAAGTCGATACTGGTTTCCAGCGAAATGTTGTTATCTACGTACAATATCCACCAATATCCTTTATCTAGGGCCCAAAGGCTATCCAGTTCACCAGGATTTGTGGCCTTACTATTTTTCGTTTTCTCCGCGTTTTGGGTTGAAATCTGAACATAAAAAGTGGCACTGATGACGTCATTCAGCTTATAATTTAAATTTGATATTGGAAATCGATGACAACTAACCAAATGTATCAACACAGAAAATTTGGTTGAAATATAAGAATGTATGCCAAAGTTATTACCAATACAAGTTTTGTACACACATGATCACCTTATTATACCTGAGCATCAGAGATGTAGTTTGATGAAGAAGCTTACGCTGCACATGAGAGGTTATGTGGTGTGGATCGTCATCTTTTGCATTTTCTTTCGAAAACTGAACTCTTATCCGATCAGCTTCGTGTACACCCTCTTCCAGAGCAGATACGTGCGATGAAGAAGTCCTGTTTGTACAAGAGTATAAATTATGCTATAGCATTATCCTGTATAGTATACGAAACGAATGTTGATGCATTACGTAAACTGCTTTCCTACTTACCTCATAGCAATGTATCCTGGTTGAGGTTCAGTCGAATCATGAAACCTCTTCCTCAGCATTTTCCACTCCTATATGTACTGCATCTCATGGAGTCGACTAGGATGGTGTATTCATTGCAATTGTCCACGTTGCGGTCGAATTTGCTGCTTTTATCTCCATCTGATATATCTCTTATGACATCATTGATTGATGCTTATTGCTGGGAAACCTATTCACTTGATCACGTGATCCAGAACATGCACACGTTTGACTGTGATCTTCTTTCCATACTGTATCAATTCACTAAGGTGGCGGTAGCATGTAAGGAATCTTTATAATGAGATATGATTTTGGCCGGCACAATGCTGATTTGTGAAATGTTTTTGGCGGGCTTGATGCTGATTGGTTGACACATATCTTATCATTTCAATCCACCTACCTCTCTGACTCGTATATATACGAATGATTGTCCTGCAGTTGAGTCATTCGTTCTTCGGATACAGTGCTGACTAGTTGTCCTGACTTCACTTCCTAGAAAATGGCTTCCCTATACGAGCGACGGATGAAGAAGAATTCCGTTCTTCCTGCTGACCCTCCTCGATGGTATAATTAGGTAGAAATGGTTCAAGTAACGTGTCATGTTTGGTGTGGCCAACCTTGGTCGGTAGTGTTTTTATTTAATTAATTAATTTATTTATTTTTCACTGAATGCCACATAACCATCAGATGCTGCAAAACAGGGTGGTGGCATATTGGATGGAAGTGGAGGCGGGGCAAAAGTAACTCCTCCGACCAAAGGTCTCGGATTCATTGTTACTCATGTGAGCCGATACGTAGGAGAAAAGAACATGTGCTTCCAAGGGGGAAGCACCTTTGCAAACGATAATGGGGAGAATTTCAGATTGAGATATGACATAACACAATAGTAAAAGCAGTGCACCATGGGTTAGGAAGATGAAGAGAACTGATATTCGTATATGGTACCATGACTGGGAGACACAAGCTAAGATTAAGGCTGAGCGAAGGGGATCAGAGAGGATAGAAGGGAGCTGGAGTTCTGGTGATATGCACCGCTGTTTGTGTTATTACTTCGTCCTTCGTTCTTTCTCTTCTTTTTTCATTAGCACATGCATTCGTGATTTCTCTTGCTTTCGTTGTTAAAATTCACACTTGTGTTTATCACTCCTGTTGGTATTGGTGTTGTTTTACGCAAGTTTTCTATAATGTGTAAAATGGGGGTTTGTCAACTGACAACCGCTATATCCTTTTTCTATTCACTCGGCGCATGAGCTGGATGAAATTATTTTATTAATGATGTTGAAAATATTATTGATGTTTCGGGCCAGTCACCCATCGTCAGAAAATGGTTCTGATGATGGGTGACAGGCCCGAAACGTCAATAAGGTTTTCGACATCACGAAGAAAAGAGTTTTCATTCAGCGCATACGCCGAATGAAAAGCAACTGAATAGAGTGGTAGTCAGTTGACAAACCCTCTTTTACTGACAATGCAGTCACGTGATGTACACCACTTTCTGAATTTCTATAACATAAGGAAATAATTGGAGGCGTATCCAATTTCGAAAGAAAAGTTGTCAGCACCGGCGCAATCCACACAGTTAAGTAAAGCCAATTTAGTAACCGAACGCTTTCGTTCCCTTCTCATCATGGCTTAGTACAGGGAATAATGTAAACATGTTCTTCTTCTTTCTATAACCGTTCAATTTTGTTTCATTGACAACGACAGTTCCTGATGAGTGTTGTACGAAAATTTGTTTGAATCCAAATTTTCCTCTACACTATTTCTTCCTACTTCCATCGTTTTATTGGACATTGTCTCCACTGGTTTACATTGTGGCAATAAAGTATACAGAAATGACGATTCAATGTAAAATTTGAAACTCGGATGTTGAGCCAATAA